CCCTCCTCGTATATTGAAGCAACTTCTTGCAAGGATGTTGTACAATGGCGGTTAGCCATGACTGAAGAGATGGAGTCTCTTCACAAGAATCAGACATGGGTCTTAGTGAAAAGACAAAAGGGGGAAGAGGACAGTTGGATGCAAGTGGGTCTACCGAAAGAAAGAGGGAATTCCTGAAGTGGAAGATGCTAGGTTCAAAGCAAGATTGATTGCAAAAGGATTCAGTCAGAAGGAGGGAATTGACTACAATGAGATTTTCTCTCCAGTCGTTAAGCATAGCTCAATTCGCATGCTACTAGCATTGGTTGCCCAATTTGACTTGGAGCTTCAACAGCTTGATGTCAAAACTGCTTTCTTACACGGTGATCTAGAAGAGACAATCTATATGGATCAACCTGAAGGTTTCCTAGCTGAGGGAAAAGAAGATCACGTATGCCAACTAAAGAAGTCTTTGTATGGTTTGAAGCAATCCCCTAGACAGTGGTACAAGAGGTTTGATGCATTCATGACTACACATGAATTCTCAAGGAGTGCATTTGATAGCTGTGTGTATCACAAGAAGATGTCTGGTAACTCAATGATTTATTTACTGTTGTATGTTGATGATATGCTTATTGCTGCTAACAACATTACAGAGATAAATGCTTTGAAGAAACTGTTGAGTAAGGAATTTGACATGAAGGATTTAGGAGCTGCAAAGAAAATCCTTGGTATGGAGATTTCAAGAGAAGACGGTGTTGTACATCTTTCTCAGAAGAGGTATATTGAAAGGGTTCTCAAGAGATTCAATATGCATACGTGCAAGCCTGTAAGTACACCATTAGCTCCTCATTTTAAACTTTCAGAGTTACAAATGCCTCAGTCCGAGGATGAGGTGGAGCATATGTCAAAGATTCCTTATGCCAGTGCAGTTGGTAGCATTATGTATGCTATGGTATGCACACGTCCAGATATTGCTCAATCTGTAAGTGTGGTAAGTAGATACATGTCCAGCCCAGGAAAGAGGCATTGGGAAGCTGTCAAGTGGATATTGAGATATCTCAAAGGAGCTTCTGGTGTTGGTCTGACCTTTGGAAAAAGTGGTGGAGGTATTTCAATTCTCGGGTATGTAGATTCTGACTATGCAGGAGATCTTGACAGAAGAAGGTCCACAACTAGATACATCTTTACCCTCGTTGGCAGTGCCGTTAGTTAGAAGTCGACTCTGCAATCGATTGCCGCTTTGTCTACGACAGAAGCAGAATACATGGCAGCAGCGGAGGCGGTGAAGGAAGCTATCTGGTTGAAAGGTTTAGTAGCGGAATTGAGTTTGGTTCAGCTGGAATCAACTCTTAGATGTGATAGTCAGAGTGCTATTCATCTAATGAAAAATCAGAGATTTCATGAGCGCACTAAACACATTGATGTCAGATTTCATTTTATTCGAGATGTTGTTGAAGAGGGAACTATCAAGGTCGTGAAGGTTATCACAGATGATAATGATGCAGATATGTTGACCAAGATAGTCTCACTCGCTATGTTTGCACACTGCAAGGACTTGGCGGGGGTGTGCATCAACTGATGCAACTCCGAAGAGAACAGTTGTTAGGTGGAGGTGGTATGTTCAACAATGGTTTGATTCTTCTTGTTTCTTACAACGGGGTTGCCCAGTAAGCTTAGAAGTTTTGGCCAGAGTTGTTCACACGCACACTCGAAACGCAAACCAAGGTGGAGATTGAAGGTGTTGGTTTATGTTTAGTCAACAATGGCATGCCAATTGGAAGAGTTGGTGGAAAGAGTTGGTTTGGATGCTAGGAGGAAGCTTCCTCCTTTGATGTCACCCATGACATCAAGAGCAGGTCTTTACCTCTATAAATAGATGCACTCCTTCATTTGTAGAAACCATCCCAAAAATAATACAACACATTGTAGTGAGTAGAGAGTTAAGAGAGAAATTCTCTCAAGTGTAATTGGGAACTCTCCCCTTCATTTGTTAATATTAAAAAGGCAACTGTTTTCTGGTGGACGTAGGATTATTTTGATCCGAATCGCGTTAAATCTTGTGTTCTTTCTTTTATGTTTCCGCTAACAACCTCATTTTGCCCACTCAGCTCGAGGATCTCCGCATTCATAGCAGCAGCTTCATCCTAAAGTCGCCCTGCAAGAGCATCCTTCTGCCCGATCTGCAAAGGAAAAGATAAGTAAGTAAGCATCGAATTATGAGAATGACCAACGAGTTTATGAATGCCAAGTTACCTACTTGGCAAGGCCAGCTTTTTCTCGCACACTCCTTCCAACCTCGCCCGAAGCCCACTCGGCTCCTCCTCCTTTCGGGCAGAAGAGGTCTCCAACTCCTTTAACCTTGAGGCAAGACCCTCGACCTCCTTCCTATTCTCATCTAGTAGCTTATAGATAGCGTGATCATACATTCTCTTGGACTACAAAAACACAAAGAATCAGAAAAATAGGGAGAAACACTTAAAGCACTAAAGGTATGCGTGGAAAGGTTATCACCTGCAGGTGGAGCCTCTCTGCCTCCTCGATAGCATTGGGAGCATCTAGATCAATGTCTTCACTAATGCCATCGAGGAAGTTGTCAAGCTCATCTCCCCCCTCGAGAGAACCCCCCATGTTGGTAGCCTTTGGGTCCAGAGCATCCCTAAATTCACCGGGAGAGAATCGAGGACCCAAATTAAGGCCACCAAAGGTGTCGATATTACCAAGGGGAAAATTCCATCCCCGAGAAGCTTCGTGCCCGATCCTTTTAGAACCAGCAGCAATGGTCTCCTCGGTAGGGACTACACCACGTTCGGCCAGGGGCTCAGGAACCGTGCCCGTGTCCTCCACGAGGAATTCCACATCAGGGGATCGACCTGAATCAACCGTTCCTGATTTAGCAGCCTTTGGCCCAGCCGCCTGTAAGGCATCCTCGCCCGACCTTGTCCTTTGTACCAAACGGTACTCATCATCATCGTCGTCTTCATCCCCAGTACTAGGACTTGCTCAGAAAGTTAAAGCCGAGGTCCTGGCAGCAGCTCGAGGCCTGTGTGATTTAGGAGACTCAGCAACTGCCTTTTTCTTCCTCTTCTTGCCCTTATCAGGCTTCGAAGCCTCTTCCTCGCCGTCGGGAGGCGGTCTCATCAGCACCCCCTCACCAACGCCTGCGCAGGCATAATAATCAAAACTTGCCAATGAAAAAGAGAAATTGGAACATGCTATAGGCGACAACCAAATAGTTTACCATGATTCTTGGTCGGCCATCACGTTTTAGCCAAGTCGGGCCAAGACCGCTCGAGAAATGGGAACGAAGAATCCAATTGCCTAATCCATTCCGACAGATCCTGGACCGCTTCAGGATACCAAGCGGTAACTGCATAAACGAAAGGGAGATCATTTTTTGGAAGGAAGCTACAAAGGCATTAAAGCATGCTCGAGGGAGAGGCACTTACGTTGCGTATTCCACTCCTCCGGGAATGGCATCTTTTCGGACGAGATGATGTCCGAGGTTCTCACTCGGACAAACCTGCTCATCCACCCTCGGTCCTTGTTCTCATCAATGCTCGAGAAAAACGGCTTCGTGGACCGAGGTTGAAGCTTGATCAAACCTTGATAAAGTCAAGGGCTATACAATCTAATCAAATGGTCAAGGTTAAAGGTCATACCCACGACCTTGTTGGAGAAATAACGGAGCATGTAGACTATCCTCCAGAAAGAGGGATAAATTTGGCCAAGAGTCACCCGGTATTCATGATAGAAGTCAAGAATAACCAGATCTATTGCTAGAGAAGAATGGTTCGAGGAGTCGACATGGCCTAAATTGAACGGGTATGTATATACATGAAGGAAACTGACCTTATGGTCCGTTATGCTCTCATTAGGGCTGGGGATCTCAACCAGCACGTTCTTCCCCCATCGGTAGTCCGCCTGCACTTTGTCTACATCCTTTACAATGCTAATATACTGGAACACGTGCTCGCATCAGCCCGATGTAGATGAGGATCTCTCGACGGAAAAGTCATTCACCATGTTGAACTCGGTAGAGGTACACTGTTCAACAGTCGATATCACTTTGGGTTTGTCTTTGGATGTTCGAGACGAAGAGGCAACATCCTCTTTTCAAGGCACTGTTTTAGAGGTCCTATCCATGGTGGTGGAAAGGCCTTTCTGAGAAAGTAAGTAAGGAATCGAGAACGAAAGAAGGAAGAATGGGAAAAGGGATGCCCTTGGCTCTGAAAGCTTGAAGATGTTGTAAAAGTGTGAATTATTAAACGATTGAGGTGTTTTTAGAGGCCATACGTGCAGCGGAAAGGATGGACTGATAATGGTTCATGGGTTCTCGATAGGCGTGTTGATAGCGACCCTCGCGCGGCTTTTGAGTTATGGCATTTAATGCTCTAATAGGCTGACATCATGATAACAGTGCCTAAGGAGTGGGAGTTCGAAATCGTTTCCTATCACTTCATTCTAGGAAACACGGGGACTATCTGTATACTGCAGAAATCGACGGTACGATTTTACGACCATCAAGGCGTTTCGAGGGTTCTCAGTGATCAACTTCGAGGTAGTGTAAGCCACTACAAGAAATCACCCTTATCGTGGGGACTAAACGACTACGGTCGCCACAAAATATATTTATGTTCAGTAGCAAGATTATGTCGCCACTATAAATGTTCTTTAGTAGCGACTAAAATTGCCACAAAAAATATTTATATTTAGTGGCAAGATTATGTTACAACTATAAATGTCATTTAGTAGCGACTAAAGTGGTCACAAAAGTTTTGACCATGAAAGACAACAAAAGAAATTGACCTTCTATGGCAACTTATATATTGCAACATATACTAATTTTTTGACAAAACTATGTCGCCAATAAAAGTTATTTTCTCAGAATTTATATCGATCAAAATTATATACATTTCCATGCCAGTAGGAACCTAATTCTCTAAAATTTCATATAGAGATATTCATATCAATTGACTATCAATATTAAAGCAACCAATAATGCTTAACAAACACCAACAGAATTTCTCAAGCCGAATATTATAAATATTATCATTACTAAAAAGTCAATTACATATATATTACCTGACACTTCATTGTGCATTGTAATTGTACACATATACATATCCCAAAAAAGATAAAATATTAAGTGTCTTGTAACTGCTCCTTGCTCGACACCATCCTTGAACCACTGTTTAAGTGTCTTGTCCCTGCTAGACAAAAGGAATATATATAAGGAACATAATGAGATTTGTTATATCCAACTACTATCAAAATTCTAAGAATTTTCAATCTATATCAAAGGAAAGCCGGAAATTGCGACCAAAGTTTGTGTACTAAAAAGCAAGTTAACAATTGCAAAAGTTGTCTAGAGGACACAATTAGCAAGGGCCAAGAGAGACACCCTTCAAGGATAGTTCCAACAGTTCGTATTTAACGAGAGAAATTTGGCTGTTGAATACAACAACAACAACAACAACAAACCCAGTAATTTCCCACAAGTGGGGTTTGGGAGGGTAAGATGTACGCAACCTTACCCCTGCCCTGGAAGAAGAGGAGCTATTTCCGATAGACCCTCGGCTAAAGAAAGGATGACGGAAAGTGAAGACAGTAAGTATTAACAACAATATCAAACCACCCTAATGCAGTTATTTGTTTGCAGCTGCTAGGACAAAGTAGCCTTTCTTGCTCTGAACTCTTTAACCAGTGATAAGCAGAACACACTATACACAATCTATAAACCATAAGAATCCTCATATCTGAGATCAATAAGCAAACAGAAACCCAACTATGATATACCAGCAACACTGTCAAGCAAACTTCATACAAAATCCAAAATTGATAATAATATTAGTTGACCAGTAATAGGTATTGCCCAACTGAAGCTAAGTATCTAGACTCCACGGCCATCAAACTTTGCCAAAAATAATATAAGGTAGGGGTTAAGTTTTATCAGTTTGAAGCACATATAACCACTAACTTGCAAGACATTTTTTCGTTACTAGATATCTTTATAGTTACTGTATACCTATATATGACCTCCTATTTGAAAGACAAGAAACAACAAAGTAAAAGTGAAGAAATTAATAAAGAAAATCATCTCATCACATAATAATAGCTAGCTAGATTCTATTCTTCTACAGCTCATGAATTTTGGAAAAAAATACATCTGTCAACACTATGAAGCAGCACAATATTGGACAAATCTTCATCTCTTTCTTGATCATAATCAATGGAGATATTCAAATCCAAAGAAACACAAGGGCTTGTTGTAGTTTCTTCAGATGATTTTTGCTACACAGTAGGAGAACAAGCTCTTGACTTAGAACTAAATTCTCACAGCTCAAAATGATAATGGCATCATTTAGAATTAGGAACAAAAAGCTCAAACATTTAAAGCTCTCTGATATGATATGATATCAAATGCATAATCATTTAGAATTAGGAACAAAAAGCTCAAACATTTAAAGCTCTCTGATATGATATGATATCAAATGCATAATCATTTAGAATTAGGAACAAAAAGCTCAAACATTTAAAGCTCTCTGATATGATATGATATCAAATGCATAAGCTATCATTTGCTTTTGTGTGCTTAAAAGTGATCATGAGAATAGATTCTCATAAACTACTCAAAGCCTTGTGCTTGTAATTGTTTCCAAAAGTCCTTGGTGCAAGCTCCAAGGTCACCATAGAATGGAAAAAGCATATGCAGTAAACACTTCATTATAAGTATTATTTATGTTAAAAATAAATAAGTATTATTTAATCTAATCAAGAAATAAATAAGTTTTATTTATATTAGAAAGGTTTTAATTAAAGCATAGAAAGAAATAAGTAAAGCATCCATGATTTGTTAAGAAGGAGCGGAGCAAGTACCTGTTGTTGTTGCATTCTGGTCAAGAAACTAGCAAATTGTTCATGCATCTTCTTCTCCACTTCTAGAGAGATCCTCTTGTCTGTTTCTGCATTTGCGTGTTGACGCTCCTCATTTGCGTGTTGACGCTCCTCTGCCAACTTCCTTTCCAACTCAATTTCCATATTTCTTCGCAACTCAGCAGCCGTTTGTTCACGTTCTTCTTGCAACTTCCTATCCATCTCGGCTTGCATCTCTTGACGCACAATACCAATAGCAGAAGACACGCTGGCCTCTATGTTTGCCTGCTGAATGTTACTCCTTTTCCACGAACATAGCATGTTCTCTCACCAACAATGGAGGATAAAATCTCATCTCTAGTCATGGGATGCTCGATATCCTCAGATTGTTGCTGAGCGACAACTTACTGGAGTTGACCCTGCATTTATGCATAATCATTTAAATCAAAACATAATAAAACATATTAAATGAAACTTACAGAAACAGAGAACTTTATAAGTGTTTTTAGATAATTACATAAATTTATTGGGATGGTGAATCCAACCACACCAGTTCGCCTCTATCATCCTTGTGTGTATGTTGGATCTCCCAAACTTGTGTGTCCAATTCTCCAGTAATAGGATTTGTCTACAATATAGTTACGGAAAAAAAAATATTTAAGCAAATATATAAATATGTAAATAACAAAGAAGCATATGTGATAGTAGGGGACTAAATATATTTTTACCATAGATTCCTCTACTTCTGCAAAAGACTTTGTACCACAAGTATGCTTAGTTATTTGCTTTTCTCTATTTCTTTTGTTCCTCTCACTTACAACCTGTAAGTAAACAGATTAATAAATCGTCATTCAAAGAGACAATCTTCAGGTATTAAGTTAATACCTTAAATTCTGGACTTCCAAAATATTGTATTAGGTATTTCCAGTCCTCAAACTCAACATCTTCAGGTCGATGAGACAATCTTTCTTCATTAGTACTGTACTTAGAGTACAGAATGCTGAGTCGAGCTTTCCATGCTCTAAAAAGCCTTTGCATAGTGCTAATTACAAAGGCCTGAAACCTATGCTCTCGCAACCCGCTGAAAACTTCAAATTTATCCTGACAATAAATGTAACATTATATTCAATATCCTAACCACATAAATAAACCTTGCAACTTAAAGTCAATACAATATTGAAAGTAGTTTATTACCTTGACCTTTAACTACATTACTTCTCCATGTTTCAGAACTATTTTCTGCCAATTTCCAACTTGGAACGAGATAGTGCTCCTCATGATCAAACCACAGTTGGATGACTGAATGCCCAATTAAGAAAGTTGTCTACTCCATCTCTATATCGTTGGTCGATTCTATTCCTAATATTCAACCAACTTTTATCCATCATATCTATATTAAAAAAATAAATTAATTTACTAATTAAAAGGGGAAGGATTATAATAATCAAAATATATATAATAATTAACATATACCAGGGGTATTCAGACAAGCAGTCACAAAAACACATTATTCAAACAAGAAGGAAGCAGTCTATTCCAGAATTACTTATAGGAATTGTGTGCAATGAAGAACAAGCTCAAACCAGGGTACGTACCACTCTATGAAACTACAAAAATACATGACCTTAGTAATGTGTTGATTAAGTTTCTGCCGGGTAATATGCAAGATTGACAACTTCAACAAACAGTATCCAGAAATCATATAACAAATTTTCTTTCGCTAGACAAGATCAGAAGATAGTTAAACGGGCAGAGAAATTACGAGGAAAAAGCATTTCTTGTGATCTTCTGCTTCTTTGATCACTGTCAAGTCTTTAGGGAATTAACAATATTCAGTCATATTCATACTATTCCTTTAAATCTCGAACACGACAAGGAAGAAGCACGCTATGGGGTACAAACTGAACACGACAAGGAAGAAGCACGCGATGGGTTACAAATTCAAGAAAAAAAAACAACAAAATTAACAACTAAAATCATTAAACCTACAAATCCAACCAATGTATATCATTCAAACAAAGGCCAGGCAAAGTAAATACATTGTACCTGCTTGAACCATACAAATTGCTTACCATAACAACTAGAAATAAGCTGCCTCCCTGATGATAAACAGAATTTATACACTACCATATAATATAAACACCATAATGATAAATAGATGTGACATATCTTACCCAACTAGACTCAAAGTGTCATGAATCTTACTTTTAGTTCAATTCAATCGTTTTAACCTGTAGTGCTTCTGTGAGCATGAGACTATACCTTCTGTGAGCATGAGATTACATATTGTTGATGAAAATGAGACTATAGATAACAGACACTACAAAATATAACAGAGACTACGAAATAAGAAGCTTTAAGTATTCAAGAAAGACATTTAATAAACAAAAACCATGGAGCTGATGGCCAAACGGGTAAGATATGTACAAGAATGCACAAACAGAGGTAACATATATTTTGATGCAAAAAGGGTAAGATATGTACAAGTAGCACTCAATATTATCACAAAGATGGAATTTGCTAGGCAATTTCCTGTAGACAGTTCACCTTTTATTCCTTCCCGAGGGAAATGACCTTGTGAATTGAATCAGACAATAGGTGATCTTTGTGACAGAATGTATTCGTCAACCATGAAGCTCCTCTTCTTCTGATGTTAGGATTCAGTAAAAGCAAAACGTCGAAGGAGCATGTGAACTTCAGCAGGCATTGTCCAAAAAAGAGGGGAGACGATGCTTATAGCCAGTAGTGATGTGATAGACTACATTTCAAAGTGCACGAAATGGTTACTCAGAAGAAGAATGGAAAATTAGGGGGAAGAAATCACATCTTAAAAAAGTATCTAAAGCTTAATAAGTTTCAAGTGCCTTTGGCACTACCATATCCTCATTAATTTTATATTCAGATATTATAAGATCAGGGACTAGCAACCAAAATATAGTGGAACGTATATAAAAACTATAGTTCGTTTGAAGTGTATTTACAATAACAAAAATCAGCAAGGCCTGATAAACAGCAGTATAATGAATATAGCATCATGTCTACCAAGTAGCTTTATTCTATTCAAGAGTAGTAAAGATCAGACAAAAATGAATATGAACAGAATCTATGAAGCTTCCACAGTATGCAAATTATACACATCGGACAGAGAATAAGTCATATTCAAAGCATATATAGGTACTATTCCATAAATAATTTAAGGAGTTACACAGACTGTTGCGACAGGGGACATAACTGAAAGAACCTACGAAGCTCATATAATAATTCAAACTGAATAGAATGCCGACATGTAAAACGTCTCTCAAGAAGAAGATTTTAACTTACCCAAGAAAAGAGATAAGCTGAGATTCTGTCAAGACCAAGAATCGAAAATTACAACACCAAATACGCTTCAAATGATTCTTTCTATGTGATTTTTTTGGTATTCCTGTAGATTATCAAATGACTCAGAGAAATTCGAGATGAAATCTGAGAAGACAAAAGTGAAATTGCTGGAAAAATAATTATCCCTAATTGCATGTTGAAACTTTTGTCTAACAGAATCATTATACCCAAATGTAAATATATCTTATATAAATCTTTATGGGGTTTTAGTTAGATATGGGATAGTAACATGGAAGAAGGAAAGGTGAAATCGATTATGAACAGAATCGTTTCTTTTATTCAAGTCGGATTAGGGATTTGAACGGAGGAACTTCACGAAATCGATATTAAAATGGAGGAACTTCTTTCCCAAAAAAAACGAAAAATTAGGGATTTAAACATACCTGAGATTCACATTTTGATTCGAGGGATTTTGATTTGGGTGAAATTTTAGATGAGGAGACCTGATTTGTACAGAGAGAGAGTGCCAATTTTACATAGAGCTTGTACTCTATTCTGCTTTGTGGGCTTCTGTTCCAGAAAAGGTAAAGAGGACATTTTAATTTTATTTTTTTATTTTTTTAAAAGTGAAAATCTAGGATACAGGAGCGACCTAGTCGCTGCAAGAGAGTTTTAGCGGCGACTTTAAAGTCGCCACAAACAATTGGAGTCAAAATTCTATTTTGCGCGGGACTAAAAATTTCAGCCACATTAGAGGCGACCTAAACTAAGTCGCTGCTAATAATATAGCTACTGTAGCAACCTGTAAGGTCGTTGCTATATGTTGCCACTAATAATCCAATTTCTTGTAGTGAGCAGCGACCGACCTCGAGGCAGTGTATAATGGTGGCCTCGGTAAGTCAATATGAGATTCCCAAGGCATGTGACTAAAGTTGACAAAGCCTATTGGGCTACTCCAAGCCCGTATCATGTCATTAAATGGCTATACCAACCACATATCTTTGTAATAAATGTATTTGCACTATGCTGGGATTCTCCCTCATATATAAAAGGGATCCTTGTCATTTTGTAGGGATATGCTCAATATTAAATACACAAGAACATTCTCTCTGCTCTCTAACATGTTCTTTTGATCTCATTACTTGCATTTATTGCTTATATTCATTGTGTTCTATTTTTTGTTCTTCATTTATTGCTTATTATTAGCCATAAAGAGGCGTCATTGATTTTATCATAACTATTAGTTATCCGTCATCTACCCTCGGCAGGACATCAGACTCGACCTTGAGGCCCCGAATAAGCAACCTTGACGAGATAAGATCTTGTACATAGTTATATCGGGGCCCCGATTTCCAGCCCTTTGGTTTGGTCGCTATACTATCTACAAGATCTTATCTCGTTTCCTAATCTCTTACTTCACATCTATTACCTAAACAACTAGCATAAAAATAGATCACGTATTTTTAGAACCACAAAATCAAATTTAATTGTAATTACCATTTTCAAGATAAACAACTATGGAGATTTGTATCAAATTACCACTATTATCCTTAGCCCAACGGTGGGCGCCAAACTATTTATCCCAAAATTGAGTAACGATTTAATCTAGTACGAGCAATTAAGAATATCAAATAAATGAGTTAGAAATGAAGTAAATGTTCAAACCAGTTGCAATTATGATCAAGCTAGAACGAAGATTGAACAGTGATCTCGAACTCGACTGGACCCTCGGTTCAAGACCAATCGTGAATGAAGAACATAATAAGTGAACAAGAACATTAACAGTAGCAAAAAAGATATAAAGCAAGCTTTTATCGCTTTGATTTGCATGTTACAATGTCTTTTACTAAAGAAAAATTTTCCATTTATATAGTACGAGAGTTTTATCCCTAATACAAATCTAAAAAATATAAAAATCTTTCCTTCCCGGTAATTACTGATCCATAATCGACATCGAGCGAGATCCGCATCATGATATTCGGTTGGGTGCGAATATCACGGTCCTCTATCCGTCATGCATAACCGTTTACCGTGTTTCTCGTTGTCTTAGAACTCATTCTTAGCCCAGAGTATGTCATTTTACCATACCCGATGACGAGCACATCGTTCATTTTCCCCGGATCTCGATACGAAGGGTCCTTAACCTCGATGTGCATCTGTGCCCCTCCTCCCTTTTCTTACTGGAAAATCGAGATAGACGTTACCCTTTATTTTACCCGTACACAATTTTCAGCAAAAGAAAATCCCAGGACAAGTTTAAGTATGATCGAGGGCCTTTCTAAATTTTTAAAAACTTATGGGAAAAACTTAAAACCTAGCAAATAAATCAAAATTATTTCTCATGTCCTTGGGAAGCTGGTGAATGCAGTTGCACATTTGTCCTTCAAAATCTGGTTATATGTTTATTTAATTACTTTTGCACCTAAGATTATAAGTTAGCGTTACATGTTTGTATTACCTCATTTCATTTTGTAAGGACTTGGATATTGTAATTTGTTTTTGAGCGTCTATATATATATTAGCCACTATGCAGTCAGTCAAGCGATTTGATTTGCAAAAAATAATTTATTTCTTATGTCAAATACAGATAGTTTAGTATAGACTCAATTAAAATCTATTATAGACATGTAAATCTAAAGTGTTCATCGTGAGCAACAACAACAACGACCTAGTAAAATCTCACAAAGTGGGGTCCGGGGAAGGTAATGTGGATGAAGACCTTACCCCTACCTTGATGGGACAGAGAGGCTATTTCTGATAAACCTTCGGCTCACAAAAAATGTTCATCGATCATACTCAAATATGAAATTTCATTCAAAACTATCATAAATCTTGTCCAAAGTCCAAACTCCGTAAAATTTGAGATTTAGACTCCTCAAAAGATTTTCAATGCTTAAAAGAAATTACTAATTCCCCCTTCTAAGTTGAAAGAAAATTAAAATACTCTATTGACAGCTATTGTTGAAGTTTGAGCTTCAAGCTTGAAAAAATTGGAGGTTTGCGAAGGAGTGATTTACTTCAATTGGGTATTTTTTATATTTGTTGGGGTTCTTTTCTCATATTTTAGGAAATTTGGAGAAGATTTAAGGTGTTTTGGGAAAAATATCATATTTGAGGTTGAGGATGAACATTCTATATTTATGTTTGTAATAGATTTTAACTGTCAGGATCCCAAATACCAATCAAGGGGTTGTGATGGTTCCTAACTCCACTTGCTAGGAAAGAAAACACTTAATAGTAATTAAAAAGTCAAATCTAAATATTTATAACATCTTAAATAAAGAGTAAAAGTTCTGAAATCACATAATAAGTGTAAAACCAGCACATTTGTCTAAATAACTCCCCAAGACTAGCGACTGGGTGCATGAGCTTTAATGAATACTAAATACAAAGTCTAAAAGGAATACGATAATGTCTGATGCAATTAAACATGAGTAATAGGAATAATGAAGATGACTGTAGAATCTGCGAATGGATATGCAGCACTATCTCGAGTCTCCCAAATGTCTAAGCTAAGCACCTCTCGAGAATCATCTGGGACCAATGCCTGGATATGCACAAGAAGTGTATAAGTATAGCATGAGTACAACTGACCCCATGTACTCCGTAAGTATTAAACATAACCTCAACGATAAATTGACGAGGCTAAGACAAGATACCTACTATAAATCTCTGCGGTTAATAAGCAAGAGAAAAAACAATATAGAAACAAGAATAAATACGAAAAATATTAAAATAATTAACTAAAAAAATAACAATCATTTTCTCAAATATCACAACCAAATCTTTCCAACTCAAATCCAAGAGAATAAAACGATATCCACAAAAATAACAAAGTCAAATCTACAAATCCACAAAATAAGAAAAATGTGTAAAAGATATCATATCAATAACGCAGCAACACCTTTCATGCATTTACCCCTCATCCTCACTAGCATAGAATTACCTTTCATGCGCACGCACATGCGCGCATATATATATATATATATATATATATATANATAATAATAAAAATATCAAAAAGTACGAAAACACACTTCGTGCCTAAATGACTCTTCCTTATAAGCACAAAATCATCATTCGTAAAATTCATTCTTCCTCATCAAGTATATATAAAATGGTACCAAGCAAGGTAGGAAGCATAAATAACATCAAGAAATGTGCAACAACAACAACAACCCAATATAATCCCACTTAGTGGGGTCTGGGGAGGGTAGTGTGTACGCAGACCTTATCCCCACCCTGGGGTAGAGAGGCTGTTTCCAAATAGACCCCCGACATCCTTTCCTCCAAGAACTTCCCACCTTGCTCTTGGGGAGACTCGAACTCACAACCTCTTGGTTGGAAGTGGAGGTTGCTTACCATCATAGCAACCCCTCTTGTCTTCAAGAAATGTGATTAAACATAATACAATACGTGAGAGATATTCATAACCTTTGTACCAATAAGCAAACCAACATCTTACGAACCATAATGTCCAAATATCGCAATAAAGCTTAAACATAGTTACTAACATGTATGGGAATAATCAAGTAGTTTATCGAACTATTAAAGTATAGGAGAATAATATACATGAAGCAAACAAGACATAAACAAGGTTAATTTTATCCCATGTTTTAACCTTGGCAAATGCATATACACTTGTCACCATGCATATACCGACGACAATACATATGTCAAGTAGCAAGTAGACCCAAATACAATCTAATTTTCTCAAATGAAGGTTAACCAATACACTTACTTATTTTCAGAACAATTCAACCCTTCAATACCACTTTTTGTTTGGAACAAGCCTCCAAACAACTCGAATCTAGTCAAATAAGGCTTAAAACGTCAAAACAGGATTTAAAACTATCCTAATATCAAAAGGGTTCCATCTTTATTTATTTTAGAAAGTCAAATCAAACTCACACTATCAAAATACAAAATCAAGATCAAATCACGATTTCTGATGGTAGGCTAAAAATCCGTATTTTAATCGTATTTTGTGCTTTACTTACTGCACTATACTTGTGTTTGAGCTTATATAACAATGATTCGCAATTATTACGTGTTATATGCGTTGTAGAAAATGATTATGAGTTAACAGGATAATTGGAAGCTAAATCAAACAAGTTGGAGCTTTGAAGTCTGAGTAAAAGCCCAAGAAATTAAACTCGGATCGCATTTGGGGATCGAGGACCAAGTCTGAATATCAAAAAGTGAAAGAAACAATTTACACTGAGAAAATCACACTGCCATGCGGTATGGGCACTGCTAGGCGCGATGCGACTGTACAATTCTTTACCGCCTGTCAGAACCTGCTCTCTGAAGATGTCCATTAGCATGCCGCATAGGGCGTCGCGCTTGTACAAATTTCATAGAGTATTTTCCTGTTTTGGCTTTGAAAGGATATTTTCGTCCGAACCCACTTTTATATGGTATAAATATACCAAAAATACGTTTTTAAGGGACTTTGGACCTATAAAAGATTGGAAAAGCATTGGATACTTAAAGCACAATGATTCATAATTCTGTCCGCAACATAACACCTGAGTTTGGATAGAGTTCATGTTTTCTTATTCGTCAACTTT